TGATAACTTTTTTTCTCCGGAAACATTGTAGAACCTGTTAACTTCTGCAAGTTTTTACCCGATGTTATGAAAATTTATATTTGTATTAAAAATTTATATTAAAATTTACATTTAAAAATTTAAAAATAAAATTAAATTTAAAAATATAAATATAAAAAAAATTCCATTTTAAATTTCCATTTAAATTTATGATTGTCATGAAATATATATATGTATACCACCAACACACTAATGATATTTTGACTTGTGTGGAAAGGAAATGCTTTTATATGGTAGCACTATTTTCCCGTTTTTCCGTTGTACACTCTAGGTATTATCCGCTCTTGATTATATCTATGACTACTCATATGTAGCGCAGTATATCCGTGATTCTTCAAGGGTTTGTTTAATTTAGTTTGACTCAATTGTATGAGTTGGCGTGTGCTAATTCACTTTAAATTCTAATTAAGGCCAAAACAAAATATAGGTGTGGTTACCGTTTAATGCCGAAAAAAAATAGGGTAGGTAGGTAGGGAAAACATTTTATTTTATTGAAACATTTTATTTACAAACCCTGTCCGAAGGATGTGCGTTGTGCCTTTTGAAGCAGGAACTGTCCAATTCATTTTTTTTTTTTTTATATTTTTTTTTTTTTACTTTAAAGAAAATTGACAATAAAATGTTTAGGGTCGCTGGGAATAAATAGGGTCGGTCGGGAAACGGTAACCACACCTATATTTTGTTTTGGCCTTTGGTAATTTTTGCAAATTTGCTGGAAACATTCAGACAGTCAGTGACCTCAGCTGAGAAAATATAAAAAGGTTCAATATATCATACAAATGTTAACTGACTGGTGCATACAATTTTAACTCAAACACAAAGCAAAGTACACTAACATACCATACTCTGCTCCCATGAATATACACTCTGGTAATGCACGTGGATGTTTAGGGTCTAACAGCACTTGCAATGATGCATTGTTACCTGCGAAATAATAAAGGTAGAACGATATCAATACTTAGTAGATATGTAACTGAAAGTAGCTCAGATAGAAGAAAATTGCATCTAGAATTCAAAAGATTTTCTGGCGCAACAATGCCACTAGACATGCAAAATTTTCAAAGAAAGCATACAATTGTTAGGCTTGTCATTTTCAACTTGTTACCGGGCACGGGTACAAGCTGCTGCTATATGAGAGGCATTGCCGTGGCAACCAGATCAGCTTCACTCACCGAGAACGAGGCGGCGGGTAGAACAGCTGGGAGATGGATTCTCAGGATCGATAACCCAGGCATTGCTGTCGATTTCATCGAGCATTATCCATAGATCCTGGTGACTACTCAGCTCTGCAGTGAACTGTTCCACGACGTCATTCAGGCTTGTACTCTTCCATGTAAAAAGTCCAAAGAGTGCTGCGCTTATAATAAAAGTCGACCTGCACTGACACTGACGAGAATGCAACCAACAGAAGTAAACAGCAGATACAATCGATGAGAGTAAACTACAATTATGCTGTAAGACTGGTAAAAATGACACATGCACCATATGCAGTATACACTAACACCCACATGCATGCACGCACACATATATAATTCTATAAATTATAGATCAGTCATTTTTAAACCTGTGTGCTCACAGTTTTCCAGTGTACTTCGAATTGAAGGGGAAGATCAGCTTTAAATTCTGGTGAAACCTTTGGATACTGAAACACAAATACTTCCTGATCATCTTTGCTAATTTTGATGATTAAGAGAATTTTATTATTTGCTCATCGCATCCTTTACAGAACAAACACATTCAATCTGTATAATAATTAAGAAACAATTAATACAGCAAACCAATTCTAAAATTTAGATTATTCATCACATAAAACATTGTTTATAAACTAAAATGTGAGTTTCTCAAACGTTTTGAATTTTTGTAAATGAATTAAACTTTAAAAGCATTTTAAATTAAGGTATGTTACAACCATTAACATGTCTTACCTGAGGTGAAATTAATATTTTCAGAATGTGCTCTCTACCCCTGTCATCTTTGACCATCAAATGCAGTTCCTTGAAGTCCGAATCTATGTAGATAAGCCTGTTTCATAACCAATAGGGATATAGTTCACTACATGCTTTTTGAATACAGTAGACATTTCTAACTAGCCATTTTACCAATCACTGTGTACGAATATGGAGACGTTTCAAATGCATTGTCACCAATCTCTGTAGTGTAGGACTATACGACATTGTTCAATAAACACATATCTATATATGTATCAAGAGTAGGCCTACATAATGGGAGAAGAGTATGACACTGTTTTAACAGCATTTTGCGTAGTTTTCAACTTCAATTTATTCTATCAATATGTGAATAAATATATTCAAACTTTACCTTGTTTTCGTCACGAATTCTCCTGTAACCTCGTACTTAGGTGAGGTAGGCAGCGGGTAAGGGAACAGGGTAGAAGATGCGCAAGACGTAAAGCAAACACGAACTAGTGAAGTAACGTACCACAAGCGACTGTATTATTAGC